ATCCAGCAACTGATGGAAATAGATAGATGCAGACCCATAACCAAACATTAAACAGAGCTTGGGGAATCCTGCAGAAGAGGAGGAGAAAGGATTGTAGGAACCAGAGGGGTCAAAGACACCATAAGAAAACTTACAGAATCAACTAACCTGGACTCAGAAGGGCTCACAGAGACTGAACTGTCAATCAGGGAGCCTGCATGGGACTGACCGAGGCACTCTGCATATATGTTACAGTTGTGTAGCTTGGTCTTCTTTTTTTTTTTTTTTTTGTTTTTCGAGACAGGGTTTCTCTGTGTAGCTTTGCGCCTTTCCTGGGACTCACTTGGTAGCCCAGGCTGGCCTCGAACTCACAGAGATCCGCCTGGCTCTGCCTCCCGAGTGCTGGGATTAAAGGCGTGCGCCACCACCGCCCGGCCATAGCTTGGTCTTCCTGTGGGACTCCTAACAGTGGGAGCAGGGGCTGTCTTTGACTCTATTACTGGCTTTTGAGACCCTACTCCTCATACTGGGTCGACTTTCTCAGCCTTAATACATGGGGAGGTGATAAGATAAAAAAGGTTAATTATTGAATCTACTTTTTAAAAGGAACTACTTGATTTAAAAAGGATAAGTAATGAAATTTTTTGTCTGAGTTTATCAAATGTCACTGGACTGGACATTGTTAACATATATAATGGAGTTTTTTGTCTGAATCTGTCAAATGTTAATGGACGAGACATCGTTAATGTAATTCTTGACTACATATATTGTATATACTTATTGGATATAGTTCTTCTTGTATTATTTACAAGCTTTTTTAAATTTTAGACAAAAAAGGGGAAATGTGGTGTCATTATGTTCCCCAAAATATTGTGTACCCTAATAAACTTATCTGGGGTCAGAGAACAGAACAGCCAGTAGATGGACAAAGAGGCCAGAAAATGGTGGCGCACACCTTTAATCCCAGCACTAGGGAGGCAGAGCCAGGCATATCTCTGTGAGTCTGATACCAGTCTGATCTACAGGGAGAGTTCCAGGACAGTCAAGGTTATACTGAGAACTGGAAAACCATATCTTGAAAAACAAAAGAAAACAAAACAAAAATCTCAGAGGCTTCCAGTCTGAGGAAACAGGATCAGCTGAGGAACTGGTGAGGTGAGGTGGCTGTGTTCTGCTTCTCTGATCTTCCAGCATTGACCCCAGTACCTGGCTCCAGGTTTGTTTTTATTAATAAGACCTTCTAAGATTCGTGCTACAGGGAGGTGCTTAGTCTTACTGCAAATTGATATGCCATGTTTTGTTGATATACATGGGAGACCTGCCCTTTACTAAACAGAAATGGTGGAGGAGTGGATTTGGGGGTGGGAACAAACTGGGGGTGGAGTGGGGGACTGAAAGAGGAGGGAGGGGAAACTGGTCAGGATGTAAATTAAATAAATTTATTTTTAAATATAGAAAAAATTTTAAAGAAAAATATTTCTCTGAAAGAGGACACTGTATTTACTGAACTCTGTACATAAATTAATAGTTTTCCATTACAATATGCTATGCAAAAAAAGACCATGTCAAAAAAAAGTAGGCATGGGAAAACAAACCTGTGGGTAAGGATCTCTGCTGCTAAGCATGATGACCTGGGTTTGATACCCAGGACCCACATCCTGCAAGTTGTCCTCCGACTTCCACATATGCACTGTAACACATGTGTATGAATAAATAAATGTAATAAAAAATAAGGTAGAAATGTGATTGCAAAAAGTATCACAACACTAACCTCTGGATTCCAAATGCAACTGCACAGGCAAGCATATATATATATATACAAAATAATTAAAAAAGGAAAAAAATCTTGTCAGTTGTAAGAAAATAGATGAAACTGGTCATGATATTAAGGAAATGAGCCACAATCAGAAAGACAAATGAAAGTTTTTTTCTTATGTGAATCAGTCTCTCTCACTCCCCCTCATATGTGTGTGTATGTATGTATGTATGTGTGTATGTGTGTGTGTATGTGTGTGTGTGTATATATATATATATACACACAATGATATAATACAATATATCATATAAATGACAAAGTAAGAATAGAGGGACAAGACAGAGGGCATGGCTATGAGCAAAGTAGACAACATACACTTATGAAATGTCATAATAAAATCCACCATTTCACATAATGAATATGTTGATAATAATCGTTAAAAGAATATTTACAATTATCTGATGGTATCAGGAAAATTATCTTTTTTTCTATTTGGGAAATATATAGCACATCTTATCATAAACTTAAAAACAACTTGTGTGACTGTGGACATGTGTTTGCCATGGCTGTGTCTGTCTGTAGGTTAGAGTGTAACCTTAGGTATTCCTCCTTGAGACTGCATCTCTTGTTTTTTGTTTGTTTGTTTGTTTTGTTTTTTGTTTTTGTGTGTGCGTGTGTTTTTGTCTGAGACAGGGTTTCTCTGTGTAGCCCTGGTTGTCCTGAAACTCACTCTGTAGATGAGGCTGGCTTGGAACTCACAGAGATCCACCCGCCTCTGCCTCCAAAGTGCTGGAATCTAAGGCGTGGACCACCATCACTGACTACATCTTCTGTTTTGCTGTCGACAAAGCCAGGCTAGCTGACTTTTGAGCAACCTGATGCTGCCTGACTTCTACCCTCCAGAGTATTGGGGTTAGAGATAGTACCCATCATACCTGGCTTTGTGTAGATTCTGAGGATTCAAAACTCTGATCCTCAATCTGTGTGGCAACTGCTGTTACCCACTGACCCATGTCTCCAGCCTCTAAACATTCTTTTATAACAATAAAAATACTTTTTTAGAAAATGCTCTAGCCATGCTTGGTAGTGCACACATTTAATCCTAGCACTTCAGAGGTAGAGGCAAAAGCAGGGTGATCTGTGAATTCGAGGTCAGCCTGGTCTACATAGAAAATTTTAGGCCAACCAGGTGAGACCCTGTCACAGAAACAAAAACAAAACCTTATAAACAAAAAATTCGATATTCTTATTGAAAATATTCCAAAGAAAATTACTACTAAAATGTCATATAATATTCCAGATTTTTGTTTGTTTTTTGTAGTTGTTTTTAAGACAGAGACTCTCTACATAGACCCAGCTGTCCTGGAACTCTGTAGATCAGGCTGGCCTCAAACTCAAGAGAACCACCTGCCTCTGCCTCCCAAGTGCTGAAATTAAAGGCCTGTACCACCACTGCCTGGCTAATGCTAGAGGTTTTTTAATAAATACAAACCTGTTTTCTTTATAACAAATGAAACCAGAGAGAATTTTTTAAAGTTAAAAGAAATCCACTTTCCCCTAACTGCCCCTCTGAGCCCACCTCCCTTAAATAACAAATGTTAAAAGTATGGCATTTATACTCTCCCACCTCAGTTCTCTTTTTATATAGAAATATGCAAAAAAGGATATATGTATATTCTTACTTTATACATTTCACAAAAACAGAATCAGAGTGGAGACTAATGGCATATACTTTTAATGCCAGCACTTAGGAGTCAGACACGGATGTATCTCTGTAAGTTCGAGGCCAGTATGGTCTACATAATGAGTTTCTGTCTAAAAAGGGAATCATAGAAAACACCCTGAAACTGTACATGTACTTTTGTCATTTGGTCCTCGACATAGGCTCAGAAAGAGAAACTAAAATTCAGTTAAGAAGGTCATATAAGAAATGGCAAAACAGGGGCCAGGCGGTGGTGGTGCATGCCTTTAATCCCAGCACTCGGGAGGCAGAGCCAGGCAGATCTCTGTGAGTTCGAGGCCAGCCTGGTCTACAAAGCAAGATCCAAGACAGGCACCAAACACAGGGAAACCCTGTCTCGAAGAAAACAAAACAAATGGCAAAACAGGATTCAGCCTATGATTTGCTTTCTGAGGTATAAACCTCAGAAAGTCACTGAGCATTTTTTTTTTCAATGTGTAAGATTTATTTATGTTTATGGGTGTTTCATCTGCATGTACGTCTGCACACCAAAAGGCGGCACCGGATCCCAAGGAACTATAGTTATAAGTTGTGAGTCACCATGTGGTACTGTGCTCTTAACGGATGGGTCATCTCTCCAGGCCCCTCACTGAGCATTTTAACAGACATTATCAGATACTTCTGATGACGAGATAGGAGGGATTCCTGCGTAATCTCGGAGAGCTTCAGTAGTGAACGGAAGAAATGAAAGGGGCCCGATTATGAAGTGCCATATGGGGTGATGCTTGAAGAGGCACTGGCGGCAGGTGTAGTTTGGAGGTGCTTCATTTGGGGGAAAGAAATGACAACAAATTATCATAGTGGACAATGGTAGATGGAGCTACGGCCAGACTATATTCTCTTGCTTTAGTTGTGTCAGGAAAACCCTGTGTGTTTCCAATTCTGGAACATTCCATACCTAAGAGCGGGCTTTTCAAACACGGGACAAACTATTACACTGGGGGGGTGGTTACAAGTTTTGAAACTTGCTTAGATTATTTATTTACTTATTTATAGATTTTTTTTTCTGTTTTAGTCCTGTTTCTTTCTGATTTCAAAGGGTTTCAATCCTACCAGCAGTTGGTTCCCATGTTTTCTTTGGGCAAGCGCGGGAGCGCTACCTCATCTCCCCCTGCCAGTCCTGGAAATTGGAACAGTCCAAGAGCAAAACTCGCGAGATTTCCAAACGAGACTTGGTCCTCACGAGTCCTTTTCTCTGGAGCCGGCTACGTGAGAGAGAGGACTGCTATTTGGCTTGTTTGCCTCTGTCCCCTTTGGTGGACAGGCTGGTTTTGTGGCAGGTGTGCTGGACTTGTACCTCCTCTGGCCACTCGCGGGAGAGGTGAGTCTTGGTGGGGGAGTGTGTCCTAGGGAGAAAAAAAGCCTTCCAAGGAGTCACTTTTAGATAAATGTGGCTGGCGAGCCACAGGCGGAGGGAGAGCTAAGGACCTTATGGGAGACTTAAGGGGCAAGGTTGTGCTAACAAAGACCTACAACAGATTGTTCTGTTCTTACAGGTCAGAACCCCTAAGACACTCAGCAATCATGAATCCCGACGATCCCTCTAGTGGGTTCCGGCACGGCAAAGTGTTAATGTTCATCAATGAGCAAATGTCCAAGCACACAAAAGGCCCCGAGTTCTACTTTGAGAACCTGGCCCTGTCCTGGGAGGAGGTGGAAGAAAAGCTCAGAATCCTCCTGGAGGATGGCGAGATGCCTAGCCAGGCTCGGGAAGCCTGTGCCTGGGGCAGCCTGGCCTTGGGTGTTCGCTTCGCTTGGAGGCAAGGCCACTTGCAGGGGCGCAGAGTGCAATGGCTTCACGACTTTGCCAGCCTGCACAGGTCAGCGGCACATGCCTTGGCATCAGACCTGAAGAAGCTCACAGACCAGCGAGAGATTGAACGCAAGGAGGCAGCCTTCCAGCTTCAGCTGGCCCACACCAAACTGGCAGAGGTGCAGAGAGAGCGGGACCTGCTGAGGCTGAAGCTACTTCATGCGGTAAGATTACCTCCTAATCCAGTCTTATCCCCACCCTATGCCACCCCTATGACCATAACCCATTCCCAGAATATGTTTCAACTCTGCCCACTTCTCTCCAGGAGCTGAGGGCCTTTCCAGTTGCAGAGATGCCAATCATGACTAGAGCCCCTGCTACTGCTCGAGGAGCAAAGACAGAGACACAAAATGCAGACGAGAAAGAAGAGGTGACAGCTAGTGATAAAGCAGTTCGTGAACCAGAAAAGGAGATGGAAGGGGCTACAGCCATGGCTGCCTCTGGGGAGCTGGCAGGCACAGGAAAGCTGAAAGGAAACACCCTGGATCATTTTGGAGCGGTGAAGTGGAAAAATTATCCCTTGGGCTTGAAGGAGGAGGGAGAGGGGGGAGAGGACAGGGAAGGGGAAGACAAATCTATGGAAATACCTACATGTTCTGACTCTGAGCCCCTAGATCTTAGCAGGTCCACAAGCTCCCCACAACCTGTTACTATCCAACTCCCTGACTCATTCACATACTCATATGAAAGCCCCTTCCCAGTCACACCCACCCCATCCCCACCTTTAAGCATTGTCACAGAACCTCAGATGCCTCCCTATTTCATGGCCACTGACATGAATATGTCTGACACTGAGGGCCCGACAGTATACCTCCAAGAACTCCCGAAAGATAGCCAAAATAGCCAGCTGCAGAGAAATATGGCACTTCACAGGCCTGGGGATTGGGACTGCCCTTGGTGTAAAACTGTGAATCTCTCAGAGAAGGAAAACTGCTTCCGCTGTGGGAAGCTAAGCTGGCTGCAAAGCCCTCAGTGAGTTCAGAAATGTGATACAGAGCAGAAATTTCCCATAGGGAAATCAATTTTCAGAGGTGGGAACAGGAGAATGGGAGGGGTTTCATGGGAATGGGGAGGGGAAAACGGGATGGGTACAGATGGTGTGGGAGGGAAAAGTTTTGATTTCTTTTGTGTTCCAGATAATTAGCATTCAACACCCCAGAACTGCTTCACCTTTGTGTTTGTGTGTGTTTATGTGTATGTGTGTGTACTAGAACATTCTCATATCAAACCATTTTTCTTTTATATCTTGATTTTTGATTCTATAAAACAAAACAAAAAACAACAACAAAAAAAACAACAACAAAAAAAAAAACAAGGTCTCATCTAGCCCAGACTGACCTCAAACTTACTATGTAGCCAAGGATGACTGACTCCACTTCCTAAGTGTTGAGATTATAGGTGTGTATTACCATGCCTGGCTCAGAAATGTAGTTTCAAAACAGTGCACCATTAAAGAACATAATGGAATTGGCAGGGGAATTGAAGAAGCTGAGAGCGTGCAGTGAGGATTCCTTTATCCCAAGTCTCCAGGAATGAACTGGGTGGGATGCCTATGTTCTGAGGGAATTCTATTGCCAGAATCGGGCCAAGCCTCAGCTAGTTGTTCCCAGGAATGAACTGGATAGGAGGCTCACGTTCTGAGAGAGAAATAATACAAGAAATAAAGCCATCAAATGAAGCTGGAGATGGGTTAACCTCGGGTTTATGCTTGACTCAAATTAACTTGGTAGAGATTTGCCACCCCTATGAGAATTCTGAAAGACTATGGAGGATGCCAGCACCAGGTGCAAACAAGGACTTCTGTGATTGTACAGCCTTTTACCAGAACTCTTCCCTAGTCCTCAGTGTGCAGAACCATGGACAGCTCTGAACAGGAAAGTCATGCCACTGCTCCAAGGTGAGTCAGCAACTGATAGTACACAGAGGGTTTGATGGTCTGTATCGGCCAAAGCACAGTGCTAACTGGTGGGATTCTTCCTTCCAACTCAGCAGCGCGCTAAATGAAGGAGAATGTGGGTTTTAAAGGCTCTCTGGGTATATTCAGAAATGTAAAGTACAACAGAACTTTATCCCAGGAGTAGTGGAGGAAGGTAGAAGTGGGGAGAGTAAGGAGTAGGAGGGAGATCAGTCTGCTTCTTCCCCTCTGTGGCTGTAAAATGTGTTGAGAGGAACTATATATGTGTTCTAGTCCTCAGGTAGAAGAAGGACTGTACCTGGACCAGACTGAGACACAACTGGAAGAATCCTGACCATCTCCTAGAGACTATGAACCTGGAGAACAAGAACCCTTTGTGGTGTGGTTGTCTGTTGTTGGTGACGGTACAGTTGTCTTCAGGATTGGAGGCCAGAACTCCAGTCTGCAATTTTTTGAACATCCTTTGGGCTTGTTCAGCTCCCTCTACTGCAGGGTTTCCTAATCTCATTGCACTTGACATCTGGATTTGAACAGTTCTTTGCTGTGGGGTAAGAGTTCCTGTGCATTGTAAGGAGTTCAGCAGATTCCTAGCCTCTACCCACAGTATGTCTCTGTGACCCACTCCCTACCCCCTTCAGTTTTGACAACCAAAACTGCCTCTTCATAGTGCTGCATGTCCACTGGAGGGCAAAAAAAAAAAAAAACAACCTGAGTTGGCAACCTGTCAGGCAATGAAATGCTTAGCCTGGGAACAGGTAAAAAATCAAAAGACAAGGATACAGAGGCTGAAGCTGACTGAAAAATGTACACTGGGTCTGGTGTTTGCTTTGGATCATCAAGAAAACTCAGGGTGGTATGAAACTAAAGTGCCAGGATTGAGGAGTGAGGGGGACTTCTACACCAATGATTCTCAACCTTCCTAATGCTGCAACCCTTTAATACAGTTCCTCATCTTGTGCTGACCCCCAACCATAAAATTACTTTCATTGCTACTTCCTAACTGTAATTTTGCTACTCTTATGAATCGTAATGTAAATATCTGTGTTTTCCAATAGTCTTAGGTTACCCCTGGGAAAGGGTTGTTTAACCCCTACCCCTAAAGGGGCCGAAACCCCCAGTTTGAGAGCCAGTTCTGTCCAAGGACTCTAGGCTATGAAAGGAAGAAGTCAAGTGAGATACAAGGTTAAGAGAGGGCTATTTTGTCACTTAGTACATGCTTGGGAAAAGATATTTGGGTGAGATATCTGACAAGCATTTCAACTCTAATAAGGGCAGTACTTTTGCAGAGATTTCCTGAAGTAAAACAATCCATCCTGCAGGAAAGCTCCTTAAGACTGAGATGTTCTAAAGAAAGACACATTAGTAGAAACTTGGGTCATTAAGACAGTAACAGAGAAAGCTTTAAATCCAAGAAGAGAAAAAATGATCTTGTGTACTGGATAGCTGTATGGGAGGTGTAGCCAATGGTATTAAAAGAAAAACAGTACTATGAAAGGGATCATTTTGTTTTGTGTAAAATAAAAAACTTAAGGTTCTTAGGTATGTATATGTGTGCTATATAGAAATATGTTATGAACTTTTCATTTTGTATCCAGAAAACTTACATTTCAGTATTAATTGAAATGGTGTGGAAAGACATTCAGCAAACAAGGTATCAGCAGGGAACAGAAGGCAGTGTGGTATGGGATATAAGAGGACAGGGAAGTTTGAGTAAAAGGTTTTTCTTTCTTTATGTACCTATGTTTTGAAAGTAATAAGATGTTCACAAAAATAAAGAAAATTAATTTACCCACTGAAGTTTGGAAAGGCTGTTTCTTCCTCAGGGATGGGAGGGAAAAAAGGACAGCAGACACTGGTATCTGGCAGAGGGGTGGGGGATTCTGGGAGGGAGATGGAGGGAAAGGGAGAGAGGGGGAGAAAGGGAGGGAGAAGGAAAGAGGGAGAGAGGGGGAGGGAGGGGGCAATGCACCTGCAGATGAGTGAGGACAGAAGTCCAGGGCAGTGAGAGGCCATTATTAGAACACCTTAGGAATAAATGAAGCACAGAGTAGGACATGGATGGAGAGAAAAGGATCATCAAGCTGCATGGACTAGCGTAAGACCAAACTAAAAGGAAACTTAGACAATACGAATCTGGTAGGAAAATAGATTGCTCTTCTGAGACTCAAGAAAGGTATCTAATACAAAATTTACAAGTACTCCAACCTACCATACTCATTGTAGCAGAAACACCACATCTAAAGGAGAAAAGGCAGGAGGGATGAATGGAGTCCTTAGAGCGAACCATTTCTACCCATTCGGGGCTTGTAGTTCTCTTCCACTGTGCATGGATAAGCTGAGTCCTGGCTATATTTTGTTTTCAGGTCCAATCTGCTGGAATTGTAATGTCTGGTAACCCAGTCTTATCTTTAATACCTTAGGAGTTTAAAGCAAACCAACTTACTTCAGGTCTTTGATTTTACAGTATGGACTACACAGTGCTTGACAGAACAGGTGTAGCTGGAACACTAGCAAATTGTGCAACTGGAAGGACCTAAAAGAGATGAAAAAGCAATAATAATTTTAAAAGATTGTTTGAAGCTTTTTTTTTTACACCCTCTTAAAATTTACTTCATCTGTTGGGTGGCAGTGGCACATGCCTTTAATCCCAGCACTTGGGAGGCAGAGGCAGGCGGATCTATGAGTTCGAGGCCAGCCTGGTCTATAAAGCAAGATCCAGGACAGGCACCAAAACTACACAGAGAAACCCTATCTAAAAAAAACAAACAAAACAAAACCAAAAAAATTGCTGCTGTGGGATGTCCTGTATGCTGTGAATATATGTTGCTATGACTGATTGATAAATGAAACGCTGATTGGCCAGTAGCCAGGCAGGAAGGATAGTGTAGGAGGGACAAGGAGAGGGGAAAATGCTGGGTGGAAGAAGGCTGAGTCAGGAGACGCTGCCAGCTGCCACTGGGAGAAGCATGATGTAAGATACTGGTAAGCCATGAGCCACGTGGCAAGGTATAGATTTATAGAAATGGGTTAATTTAAGATATAAGAACAGAGAGCAAGAAGCCTGCAACAGCCATATAGTTTATAAGTAATATAAGTCTCTCTCTGTGTGTTTACTTGGGGGACGCGAGTGGAAGAGATTTGTCCCTACTGCCAGCAGGCCGGAACACAGAAACTTCAGCTACAATTTACTTCATCTTGCATATAAGGAAATTAAAGACAAAGAGAAAAAAAGGTTAAAATAATTTGGTCAACGTGCCTCCCACAGGGCCATGCTGATCTGGGTGGCTGGTGTTGCCACCTAGAGCCACTGAGATGTCCAGGCACAGGCTACTGCCTAGGGCCATGTCTGAGTCTGTGGCCCGGTAGCTGTAGAGTAAAAGGGCCCGCCAAAGAAACCCACCCTGGCCCTGAGGGCATGAGAGCAGGAGAGCTGACCCTGCTCCACCTACCCCACCTCCCATTCCCCCTACAGCAATCAGGAGAGAGGGCCCTGTACCTTGCCTGGGCAAAAGAGTAGAGCTAGCCCTGGTGATGTTGAGTATGTGGGACCCAGATCTAAGGAGAGCAGGAAAACTGGTCCCACCCCTTCTTGTAGGCTGCTTTGGGTGAGCTAGCTGAGGCAGTGCTGGAGAGCTTGCCCAGGTAATGCTGGAAGGAAAGCTGGCAGGCTGACTAACTCAGCTACCACCCAGGCCCAGAACCAGGAACAACATCCACTGAATCTATGAACCGTTGAAGCATGTGAAGGGGACGAACCTACAGATCCAAAACAGCAGGATCTCCATGATACAGGACAAAAACAGGATTTCCAAGAGGAGCCCCAGTAAGAGTCCATTACTGGTGGCATAGCAGAAGCCAGAGGCCTCGAGCCAGACCAATCACTCACAGCAATGAACACTTACAAGTAAAGATGAATGGACTAAAAGATAAATTTTGTGACTCAATGGGCCACACTGCAGCTTCCACGATGAGATTCTCCTTTTTGTTTTGCTTTTTTTTTTTTTTTGGTTTCTGAATTTTCTTTTAAATTTGGTTTTGATTGGGGGGAAATGTTGCAAGGGCAGAGGGCAGAAGTAAAGAGAAATAAGTAGCATCAGAAGGCATGATGTGAAATTCACAAAGAAGCAATAAAAGTTAAAAAAAATTGATTAAGGTCATGTAGGTAGGTTTAACCAGGTCTGACTCCAAGGTTATACTATGTGCCAGGGACCAAAGTGAGCATGGATTAACTCAATGAGAAGTATTGTAATCACTACTGTACTGGGAGATTAAGTGACTTTTCCAAACAACTTTTACTAGATAACATTTGAAGAACACTTTTGTATGTGGTGTATGTATATGTATGTGGTATGTGTGTGCATATGCATGTGCACATGATCCTATGTAGGAGGCATACATGCACATAAGTATCCATGCATGTGGAGACTAGAGATCAGTATCAACTATCTTCCTCTATTGCTCTAGACCTTATTGCTTAAAGATTTTTATTTTGTGTGTATGGGTGTTTGTCTGCATATGTATGTCTGTGCACATGTGTGCAGCGCCTGAAATGGCCAGAAGGTGGCAACAGATCTTCTGGGTCTGAACTTATAAAGGGTTGTGAGCCTCCATGAGGGTGCTTGGAATTAAACCTGGGTCCTCTGCTGGGGATGTCTTTCTGTATGCTGTGAATGTGTTGCTCTGATTTAGTTGATAAATAAAATGCTGATTGGCCAGTAGCCAGGCAGGAAGAACAGTATAGGTGGGACAAGCAGAGAGGAGAATTCTGGGAAGTGGAAGGCTGAGTCAGGAGACACTGCCAGATGCCACCATGAGAAGCAAGATGTGAAGGCAAAATTGAAAAAAGGTACCAAGCCACATAGCTAAACATAAATAAGAATTATGGGTTAATTTAGGATATAAGAACTAGATAGCAAGAAGCATGCCACAGCCATAGAGCTTAAAAGTAATGTAAGTCTCTTGTGTATTTACTTGGGTCTGAGCAGCCACGGGCCCAAGCAGGACTGGAGAAAATTCCAGCTACTAATGGCACCCAAATGTTTATTTTTATTTAAAACAGGTTGATTATAAATTCAATCTCTAAAGAAAAGGGAGTAGTATAGATACAATAGGATGAAAGGGTAGATTACTGAACCTACGTTTAAAAAGTAACAACTTATTTAAAATGTTTTACATTGCTATGGATTTTAGTTTATTGATACAAGTTTAAAATTAATTTTGTTATACAGTATATTTCTACTCTCATTTGAGGTATTATGTTTATATAACTCATTTAGATTGCAATGGATAATTAAAAAATACAGATTAATAATTAGTCTTCTATGATAGCCAAACATATAGCCATGTTAGTTAAGTTTTCTAGTTATACATAGATATAATTCAATTAGGTAGGTAACCTTCAAACACTTCAAAGACCTACAGAATATGGCATTTAAAATGTTTTAAAAATTTAGACATTCTAGACAGTGAGACATGTCTCCTCCTGGCAACACCGATTTACTTCAAAGAGGAGGATGGACATCGAAGACACTCTATATGGAGTTTATCTTTTTCTTGGTAAAGATACGCATTTGGGCAAGAAACTGTTCTTGCCTGGACTGCTTGATCGACTGGACATGCAGGACCCATAGGAAGGTGACCACTAAACTTTGCTTGGCAAAATGGTCCTTCAGGTTCCTGCTTTGCAGAGGAAACTGCCAGACATTCTACAGGACACAGAGAGAAGTGACTGAGAGACTCTAGGCCTGTGGGCTGAAGACAGATGCCCCAACTTTACAGAGGATCTTTGGATGACTGACCAGGCTGCCAGCTGTCTCTGTCTACTCTTGCAAGACTCCCGAAAGTTGCTTGCATCATTCTACCATTTCTCAGGTAATATTATAACCTTCTGAGGTCTTTGATGTAGTTAAAGACTAGATAGTCATAATTTCCTTAGTTATGATTAAAAAATAAGTTAGATATAAAACCTTAGACTCACAAATATAGGATAGATAGGATATCTTCTTTAATTCTGCCAAAAATACAAATAGACTAGATATTATAACTATAATTCTTGCTTGATAATTGTTTTGTTATATGCAATTTTACTATGTTAAAGTTAAACCTTCCTTTGTGGAAAAAAAAAGAAAAGGGGAAGTGCTGTGGATGACTAATTGATAAATAAAATGCTAATTGGCCAGTAGGCAGGCAGGAAGTATAGTATAGGCAGGATAAGCAGAGAGGAGAATTCTGGGAAGTGGAAGGCTGAGTCAGGAGACACTGCCAGCTGCCACCATGAGAAGCAAGATGTGAAGGCAAAATTGAAAAAAGGTACCAAGCCACATAACTAAACATAAATAAGAATCATGGGATAATTTAAGATATAAGAACAGATAACAAGAAGCCTGCCACAGCCATACAGTTTATAAGTAATATTAGTCTCTGTGTATTTACTTGGGTCTGAGCAGCTGCGGTCCCAAATGGGACTGGAGAAAACTACAGCTACAGTCCTCCAGAAGAGCAGCCAGTGCTCTTATCTGCTGAGCCATCTCTCCAGCCCCATGCACCTTACTTTTAAGGCAGGTTCTTACACTGCCTGGGAGCTCACCTATTCAGCAAGACTAGCTGGCCAAAGAGCTCCAAAGATCCTGTTTCTGTTTCCCCAGCACTAGGATTACAGGTACATGCTACCATACCTGGATCTTTACATGAGTGCTAGCAAATCTAAACTCGTGTCTTCATCATTGTTTGACACGCACTTCATCAATTAGAGCATGTTCCCAACCCTATAACATTTTTTGAGACATGTTTTCTCCATGTAGTCCTATTATGGAACTCACTGTAGATCATTCTGGCCTCAAACTCAGAGATCTACCTGCCTCTGCCTTCTCAGAGTACTTGGATTAAAGGTGTGCACCACCACACCTCGCTATATAACATATTCTTGACAGTATTGGCAGTCTGTCAATGATAGTGCTTAAAAAACAGTTAAGTTGAATAATACACTGTCACTTGGCCAGTGTGCTTGAGAGCAGACATTGGGTGAAATTTCTGACAAGCATTTAAACTCTCTGACAAAAGTAGTTATCAGAATTTTCCCAGGGGCCTGCCCTGAGAAAATCCTTCCCTGAGTCCTGGGAAAGATGCTACATCCAGCGTGGGGTTATCTGAGGGAAAGGAATCTATATACACCATGCTCTTTCATCTGTTTACTTTATTACTCTATAACAAAATTCTATCTATGCAGCTTCAGTTCCATGCTCACATTCAGTTCCTCTTTGTCCCTTCTTTTTCTGTCCTCTCATAGTCTACTAGTAACTAAGCTCTTATGCCTTCGATCTCATCTTTGTCCTCTGTTCCTACATCCTCCATCTTTCCTCCCTTGCTCCTTACACCTCAGTCTGAGCCACACTCTACAAAAGATCTGCTTTGTTCTTTTCTCTCTGGCCATGCAACTCTGCTTGGACCAGGAATTCTGCCCCAGCATTCACTTGAACCTGGATATGCAAAAACCCTTTGTTCAGAGTCAAATGCTATGGAATGCCATTTGGCCTG